CCCCCACCGGAGTCGCTCTTCCCCCCCAGCTCGTGGCTTCTGCCAGTCACCCAAGACGAGGTGTCCGGATCCACAGAGACCAGGCTATGGAAGAGTTCACCACCGGTCCTAAGAGATCTTCATAGCGTTCTAATGATCCCTTCGGTCCAAATTTGATTAGAAGCTGATATTTAACACCCCGTATTTTTAATCTCTTCACGCTACAGAGTAAAGCATTTCTTGCTAGAAAACGGATAGCTAAGGTCCGTCATTAAAATACAACAACAATTGCTTGAAAGTAAGTTGGCTTCTTTCAAAATGATTGTTGTAGGGCTAGGTTACATTTTGTAAAGGATAATGCACACTGTGTCATGATGATTTTACAAACGCAGTAAAATCCTTTTCTCTGTCATGGTTTATCATTAAAAAATTAAACAAGAATAATTACAATAAATGCATAATTTACAAAAGCCCTATATTTGTTCATAGGATTTATACATACAAGCATTACAGTACATTTCTTTGAAAGACTAAAATCAGATATAAGAACATGAATTGCTCTGAAAGGATATTTATAGCCTGGATATACATGAAAAAGTAAGTAACTATATAAATGAAGTCATAAGTTTACATAAATATAAGAAACATTAAATTCTAAAATATTTTCTCTATGGTTTTCATGAATTTTTCACTAATTAAAAACTCTGTAATAAAATATCTTAGGGTCCATATAACAAGTATTAACAGATTAAAGGTTCCATTGAGCTCAAAATGTGGTCTCCGCTGGGTTCGAACTGCTGCGTAATCATCTATAGAAGTAATGTGGGTAAACTGGAAAAGAACATGAGCGTGAACGAGTCAGTCTCGAGGCAGCGTCAGGTGCCCGCGCTCCTACCCCTCCACGACCCCCCGCCCCCCCCCCAAGCCCTACTTTCTGTGCTTTGGCTGCTTTCAGAATTCAGGTAAGTATCAAGGACCAAGCAGATCAAGGAGAGAATTCCTTGACTGACTTTCTTTTGACACACATCTAAAAGCTGCTAATAAGAAAACCAATCATGCATTCCAGCTGAGACGTGACAACCGAACCCTGAGAGCAGCGAGGGGAGGGCTGGGCTCCCGGGCCCACACCCACCCAGAGCACCACCTGCAAAGCAAGGGTGGGCCCTCAGCAGCGGCCGACCCTGAGATGCCAGCGCAGTTTCGTTTTAAAGACGGGCCTCTGGACTGAGAGGCACACGGCGGTGCAGCCTCGTGAACCCTGATGCTTTGGGGCTTGTTCCCTTCGAGAATGTGCACGCAAGACACGGTGCTACAGCACCGCTGACGCGGGAGCGACACCAGCACGCAGGGCAACGCGAGGGAGACCCAGGCCGTGCACTGACCACTCCCGGCGGCAGCTAAGCGCCAAGGTCACCTTCCGCTCTCCTGCCGCCCCACCCCCACCCCCGGACGCTCCGGCGCCAGGGCGTGGCCTCCGCGCACCAGCCGGGCCGGGGCCAGGGCCAGGGCCGCCCTGTACTCACCGGCATTGGCTCAGCAGGAGTAAGTCCTGACTGCAGCGGAGTCCAGCCTCTGCGCTCCCGCCACGCTGCCTGGTCCGACAAGCACGGGAGGGAGGAAGCGTGCAAACACAGCGTGCGGTTAGTGGTGGGACGCCACACGGGGGAACAAGGACGGACACGCACTCACATCCACAGCGGCCACCTCCTGAGGGCTCTGGGGGAAACCACCAGAGGGGGAGGGGCGGACGAGCCGGAGAAAGGGAGCCTAAGGGCCAGCACGTGAGGGTTCCCTTCACCTCCGCCACCCTGGGGGGCACGGGGAGGTCACGCTACAGCAGCAGCCGCACTCAGATGACAGAGAAACGCCTGCACGGTGGGTGACGACTACTCAGCGTGACCACGTGGTCCCTCCTTAAACCCTCTAGATTCAGAGAGCGCCTGGACTTCTCTTTCGCTGTATCCGCGAGGACGGTAGTCGGGCAATAGTAACAGCGGCCACGTGACGGGCCCCACCGATGGCCTGGAGGCCCCGCGCTCTGCTGCCCCAGGGGGACCCGCCTGCCCTCTCTCCCCGGGGAGCCTTCCCCAGCGGCTTCGACAGTGGGCAGAGGGCAGAGGACGTAGCTAACAAAGCGGAAGCCCAGTGTCAGTTTCCACCCGAAAGGATGTCACCACTGACATTTTTTTTCTTGTCAAGAAATAGGCTGCAGGGCCCAATAGGTAAGCCCTCACCCCGCTTCAAACTGAGTAAGAAATTTCCATAACCCCTAAAAGAAATCCGCTGCTCCCAATTCAACATTTTTCGTTTCCCCACAGGTCCACCAGGAACACATTTGACCAATATTTGGCCGCGGTTCCAGAAAGGGCTTAAGACAGCTGGCGCTGCTGATTGGAGCAGATCTTTTTTTTTTTTTTTTTAAGCCATTGATTTGGACATTTTATTTTACTTTATTTATTTATATTTGGCCACACCACGTGGCACACAGGATCTTAGTTCCCGACCAGGGATCGAACCCGCACCCCCTGCACTGGAAGCGTGGTGCCTTAACCACTGGGCCACCGGGGAAGTCCTGCACAGCATCTTTCTAAATCCTTCTGATCCTAAGAACCCCAGGGACCTGCTGCACTTTTTGCCTTCAAAAGCCATGAAAACAACCCATTTTAATAGTTTATGCCTTCCTTAACACACAAGGGTAAAAAGTCATCTCCCATATAATATATTGCCTACACCTCTTTCTAGGAGTATTTTTAATTTATCAAAACTCTAATGTTAACACCACTGTGAGCATTTAACAGCGAAATGCGATTTATAACGAGGAGAATGGAAATGAAGCAGTGAGGAAAATAAGAAAGCACTCATTTAGACTATCCAGTAAATTGAAGGCCAAGCTACGGTTAAAATCTGTAAAAATGGGGCTTCCCTGGTGGCGCAGTGGTTGAGAGTCCGCCTGCCGACGCAGGGGACACGGGTTTGTGCCCCGGTCCGGGAGGATCCCACATGCCGCGGAGTGGCTGGGCCCGTGAGCCATGGCCGCTGAGCCTGTGCGTCCGGAGCCTGTGCTCCGCAGCGGGAGAGGCCGCAGCAGTGAGAGGCCCGTGTATCGCAAAAAAAAAAAAAAAAAAAAAAAAAAAAACACCTTCCTCCACACCCCCCTAAAAAAAAACCCCAAAAAAAAAAAAAAAAAAAAAAAAATCTGCAAGCTGCCCTCACTAAAGTGTCCAGCTTATTTAGCAAAGGCTTCCCTAAATGTACTTTGCTCTGATTTTCATACAGGCAAGTGAGAGTAAAACTTGCAAACCTAGGCATGGGAAGAGCTGACAACAGGAGAAAACTGCAAACCCCGTCAGCACACTTCGAAAACCCCTTGCTCTCCTGCAGCCCTGCCATGGCAGGCGTGGGGACGGCCTGAGTAACCGCAGCGCCGCAGCGGCCCTAAGGGCTCCGCCCTCACGGGACTGAGGACGCACCAGGCGCTTTCCTGAGCCGTGACCCGCTCTGTGAATCACTTGTGTAACCGGCACGGCCAGCCGGGGGGGAGGGTGCCCCAAGATGACCCTTTCCCAGATGGGAAACTGAGGCGCGGTGCTCAAGGCGCCTCCTAGGCCGCAGGGCCAGACTCGGACCCAGGCCGTCCGTCTCGAGTTTGCTGCCGAGTGGAGACACGGCAGCGCTGAGAGCCCACCCTTAACTAGCGGTGCTCTCCGGCAGAGCAGTTGTCAAAGGGAAGAGCAGAGCTGGGTGTGAAATGACTACGGGCCCAGCCGTGCTCGGGTGATGACTTCTCTCGGCCTCGTCTTCTTCCTTCTCCCCGGCCTTCCACAGCGTGCAAGGGACAAATAACAGTGAGGACGGAGGGAGGACAGGAAGGCGGAGGTTATTTCAAATGGACTCAGTCATCCTTCTAGCGTGCAGAGCAGTCGAGGGGGAACTGGTGGGGTCTGAAAGCTGCTATTTTATGAAACAGCCTCTGAGTGCTGCCTGCCACGCACACATCTTCACGAGCGTGGGTGTCGATCTAATGCTCTAAGAACACACACGATTCTTAGTTTTATTAGTTAGAAGAGTATGCTAATATTCAACCAGACAAGAACTTAAGAATTAAGACTGTATTACTGTTAAACTTTTATAAACAGACGCTAGGATTAATTTTAAACATTTACACCGGGGCATGCAACAGTACTCAAGTGCCTTGTCACATATTAAGTAGGCCATTCTAGATCATTATTAACGTTCCAGTCCCAGAGCTGCTCAAGCCGCCTACCAACGGCTGGGGCAGCACTGCATCACCTACCGTCCAGCTGCATCTTCTTTGGCTGCACAGAGGGCGAGGACAGAGAGGACGGGACCCGAAAGTTTGCGGGGAGAGTCTCTGCTGACCCAGCAGCTAAGCCACGAACATCCTTTGGTCTAAATTTTTTTCTCCAAGAAGGTGCTCTCCTAAAGCTTTTATCATCATCCTGGTGAATTAAAGGACAGAAAACAAGACAGATTTAAAAATAAAGGACAAAAACATAAAGTTACCAGCCCTTTAAAATGACTGAGTTTGTTACCGCATCTTTATTTCACCCCATTCGTGACAACCATGTGATTAGCTGGGAACTGTGGAGAGCGGCCGGGGGCCCGGTACCACTGATGCTGGGACCCTAGCTGAGCATCAAACAGGACTGCCTGGGCCGCCCGGGTGTACGTTCCTCCTGACAATTACCAGGCTTCACTTCTTATCTTGAAGGAATCACCTTCTTGCTAAATAATATAACACGTTTTTATTTGTCTTTAAAAACAGTTTTCGAGCTGTAAACAATTCTGTCTCGTGCTGGGACAGAGCCAGCAAACGCTGCTTTAGGTGCCCTTCTACTCTGTCAAACTCAAGTTTCCTTAACGTCCAATGAAGAGAATAACGATAAGTGTGGGAATAAATGAGTCACGGTTTTGTGTAAGGGGAAATTAGTATTTTGTGCTTTTCAATATACTTATGAAACAGTCCCCCAAAGCACAGGGGCTCTGGATTAGGGTAAGACATCCGGCTGGTCCCCAAAACACAACTTAGACTCCATTCCTAAGCTGAAACCAGTGTTTCACGATATAAAAAAAATACTTTTGAGGGGTATCAAAAGTTAAATAGCGAAAATTGAAAAAAAAAAATACAAACCCCTATCTTACTGAAGACACTCATTTTTTAAAAATTCATTTTATTTATTCATTTATTTTCGGCTATGCTGGGTCTTTGTTGCGGCCCACGGGCTTTCCCTAGTTGTGGCGAGCGACTCTTCGTTGTGGTGCGCGGGCTTCTCACCGAGGGGGCTTCTTTTGTCGTGGAGCACGGGTTCTAGGCGCACGGGCTTCAGTAGTTGTGGCGCACGGGCTTAGCTGCTCCGCGGCATGTGGGATCTTCCCGGACCAGGGCTCGAACCCGTGTCCCCTGCATTGGCAGGTGGATTCTTAACCACTGTGCCACCAGGGAAGTCCAAAGATATTAATTTTTTAATAGCTCATTTGTTAATAAATTTTTAAGAGCAAAGCTTAACTTGTAAAGTAAAATTGTCTCCACATTTAGAAGAAATACCCTGACTACATGGTTCATACAAGTATGATAAGATAATGACTTTTAAAGTTGCATTAATGTAAATTAAGCTGAAAACTTACTTCATCGAACCTTCTGTCGGTCCCCATGACCAAAAGGTTGTTAAACTCTCTTTCCAAGACAGCACGAGCCTGAAATCATAAAACAACACCACCCTACAGCTTTCAACAATCTCATTTGAATATCAGCATATCTGGACTGTTTTTTAAACCAAGACTTTAAAAACAAAACAAAACAAAGAAACTCAAACTCTGACAGTATTTTAAATCAGGGGTTTAACATGGAGTCCATGAATGGCCTTTTGGGGAGAGGGATCCATGACCTCTCGGAAATTATATACAAAAGTGTGCTCTGTGGGTTGGTGCTGGTGGGAAGATCGGGGTACCGGCAAAAGATATACAATCTTCCGCAGAAAAATAAAAAAATTTCCTCATTCTCAAATGAGCCCACAAGTCAACAAGAACTGCACGGGGCAATTACGCGTAGAAACAAAATTGATAAAACCTTCATCTGACACACAAGGAGTATTTCTCTTTCCACGGAAGAACTAAATCTTGATACACGTCACTCTTACCAGAGTATTGACTTGAATGAAAGTTCCCCTTATTGTGTTTACTGTAAGACTCTCATGCTTCCAACGGAAAATGAAAAGTCAATAGGCAAAAATACTGAGGAATGAAGCATTACAGATTCTGAACTACTATGTGACGGATTTGGTATGGAATGAGATTACTAGTGGTCTGAGATGCTGTTAAGTTTGGTCTCCATTCAGATAGGCAGCTACATGTCTGCATGGGGAGAACAGACCACACACTGCGCCCCAGTGAAGGCCCGGCGTCTGGGCTGTACCTGTGTGTTCTGCGTAGGGATCTGTAACAAGAGGGCCAGAGCGTTGAAGTCGAAGGTTTCGTCTAAGGCCAGAAGGGCGCCGTGCACCCCGCTCTCTACGAGATTGTTTGCGTATTCCTTGAGACCAATGGAGAGGATCCAGCGAATCACTCGATCGTTGCTCCAAACAAGCACATCTGCAGATGGATAAAAACAGTTTTAAAAGTGGCCTCAGAAAGCTGCGTTCATCACGTATACCCTGCAGGCACGGCAGAAAGATCCCTACCGTGAAACTGACCCTTCAGTTCCTGACAAAAGCTGGGAGACACCGCTAGGCGGGCAGCCAACCCCTGCTGCACTGCGACGCTGATGGGTTGGCCCTTCTCCACTCCAGTGGAGACTCTGTCCCATTAGAACTCATTCTTCAAGTGAACCCAAGAGGAATGAAGTTATTACGTACACTTAGTTTCTAGAGAATAGAAAACGAGGATCCGGGGATCAGAAATAAAAGGACACACAAGGATGTGAATGCCCACCAGGTACGAACGCGTTTCAGATACAGACTTGAGAGTCTTTTGATATACTTTCTTCCCGTCCCAAGGAGGAGCTGGCACCGTATCTGGACACCTTGCTCAATTCAGCATCAACCTCTCACTTATAATTGTGAAGCCTTTTTTCTTGAAACCATTTTTGTTGTCTCTCTTTTGTTAAAAAGAGAGAAACTTAAAAGATATTCTCCAGCATATTAGAGATTTGGGGGGAAGATTTCATATTAGGCCAAGTCATAAATGATTAAGTCTGCGCTAGCAGAGAGCTACACAGAGCCGCAGATGATCACCAATTACTTTCAAAGGCAGCTCCCGTCAACCGTAAGAAGATTTAAACCATTTAAACCATACAGAAAACAAATTAAACAGATTCACAGATTTCATTTCCAATGCCCTTTTCTGGATAAAGGTATAGAATATATAAATGTTGGCTTCTGGCTTTTCTCATGATTCACATCAGCTCAATCCCGACTCAACCATCCTTCACGTGGGTCGCGTCTCCCCAACCATATTTTACCTTTAGTTTCCTTCTTAGTAGAAGCTGGGGATGAAAACAGCACTTACACTCACAGTGCTGTGGTAAGGGTTAGATAAAGTAACCTCTGAAAGTGCCTGGACTTGTTCCCTAAGTCTTACTATTATTATCACTATTAATATTATTAGATTTACTTTCTGAAAATTCTGGGAGGTTTTACATTGAGCTCAATCACTAACACCTTATTTAAAAGCACTCTATCATACCTGATCATTGAGAGGCGCACAGAGTGAGAAGCTCCCCCTCGGAGACAAGCATCTGACATCTCCCAGTTGGACAGCCCACGTCCTCCCAGGCCTCCGCACCCGCCTTCTAGCCGAAATGCCTCTGCCCTCCTCCCTGGCTAAGCAGCTCCCACTGCACCTTCAGGGCCCGCTCCCTCCAGCCTGGAAGGAGAGCCGCGCGCTGCTCCCTGCACTCCTCAAGTCCTTTGACAAATGGCCAGGGCAGCGTTTTTCACACTTAAATCAAATGAGTGAACAGCAGGTCCCGTTCTTTTCGGCTCTGGAATTACCTACAGTGTGTAGCAGCATTTCTGAGTGAAACAGGAAACGTGTCACAGTAACAGGAGATCTCTAGAGTCATGGGAAAAATGTTTACCTTGAGACACTTAACCTATAGACTGAGCACAAGGACACAGGCACAAGTGCTCTGGCCACAGAGGAGGATCTTAAAAACACTCCCTCCTCTGTAATGATGCCAGACACGTTTTCTCCACTTAAAGCATTTCCTGATTTTTTTCTTTAAAACAGGAAGCCACTGAGGCTGCTAGTACACTGGGAAGCAAGAAACATGACTGTACTAGCCTTTTAGTTCATTCTGGCTTTCTTCTCTTTTTCTTTCCAGTTCTTTCCGGTCATAATTTAACCTTCGCAGGCACATAATTCCACACTGGAAACTGTTTCTATTTCCAAGAGGAAAAGAAAAAAAAAAGAAAAAATTTAGACTGGGCAACAGGCAAACGTCTCTCAGCCAGCTAGCAAGAACTACTTACGGCGACTAACCTGTGAAAACTATCAACCATTTTCAGTTGCCCACGAAGGTCTTTCTTGGTCAAGTGGTCCAGCATCCGTGCGTCCACGAGGCACTCCATAAAGTAGCTCCGGTACTGCGGGAGGCCCAGGCTGGGCAGCCACTCGTTGCCGATCCACTCGTGGTTCATGTCCCCGTATGCCAGTGTCTGCTTTCAATAATCAAGGACGATCAGTTCAGGAAAAAACCCATGAAAGCAGCCACAAGGACCGTTTATATCATCTTTAAACTGGATTTTTAATCTGTTACATATTCTCAAAGGCTAATAAGCTAATGACAACGTGGTTGCTTAGAATTTCAAAATAACTTGATCTCTTATTTACTACCTTATAAATTTGCTGGCAAAATTTTATACAAAAGGAATTTATGCCATTAAAACTCTATGACTCTCTTGTGTGTATAAATTTAACCTATCTAACAACCACGATAAAATTATAACTGACTACACATTACTCTTCTGAAATAGCTTTTACACATAATAATCACGACTCATGAACAAGTTTGAAGGATCAGTCTAACTCTACTCATTAACAATAACTCTGGCTGTCTTTAATTTTATTTTTAACACTTTGTTTTCCAAATTTCCTTAACAAAACATCTGTTAATTTCCAAATCAGTCCAGTGAATTAAAAAATAGTTTTAAAAGAACCGATAAGCAAAGCAGTAACTGACAGGCTGGCTGAAAGGAGAAAGAGAAAGAGACAAAGGCACAATTACAGAGACCTCAACTCTGCTCTCTCAATTATTCAATAACTGATTGAACGAGGAAGCCACAACAGACAACCAACCAACCCCAGTGAGGACACAGAAGCCTTAAATAACGCTATCAACCAACCTAACTGACATCTTATGTAACACTCCATCCAACAGCACGATACATTCTTTTCAAGGGGATATGGAACACTCTTCAAGACAGACAAATCTCAGCACACTCAAAGTGACTGAAATCATACAAAGTATGTTCTCTGACCTCAGCAGAATTAAATTAGGAATCAATGAAGCAGAAAGAAGAAAACAAACGAGCAGAAACCAATGAAATGGAAACCAGAAAAACAGAAAATAAAACAATGAAACTAAAATCAGTTTCTTCACAGATATCAGTAAAATTGACTAACCAGAGTGATCAAGAGAAAAGAGAAGACATAAACCACCGATGTCAAGAATGAAAAGAGGGGACATCAGTACACATTCTATAGACATTGAAAGGACAGCAACAAGGGTAAACTGTGAACAACTTTAAGCAACTTACATAAAGTAGTCTAATTTCTAGAAAGACACAATTTATGAAAGCCACTCAGTAAGAAACAGATAACCTGAATCTATTAAAACTCGAATTTGTAGTTATAAACCTTCCTACCCACCCACACACGCACACACATAAAATCTCTACCCTAAATGGCTTCACTAGTGAATCCTATCAAGCATTTATGAAGAAAATACCAACTCTACACAAACTATTCCAAAATGGTGAAGAAAAAAACGCCTAACTCATCCTACGAGGCCGGAATGATCTTGATACCTAAACCAGAGAAACATATAATAAGAAAACTACAAACCAATATCCCTCAGAGACACAGATGCAGAATTCCTTAACGAAGTGTCAGGAGATCAATCATCAATTAAACGAACAGGATATCGTCACAAGTAGGGCTTATCCCAAGAAGGTAAGGTTGGGTCAACATTTGAAAAACCAATGAAATTCACTGTATCGATGGACTGAAAAGAAAAACCACAATATCATCTCGAAAGATGAAGAAAAGGCATCTGACAACGTTCATCATTTATATACGGAAATCTCAGCAATCTAGGAATGGAAGAAAACTGCCTCAGCCTCATATAGAGAGCATCTACAAAAAAACAGAGAGCTGACAACATACAATGCATTCTCCCTAAGATCAGGAACAAAGCAAGGATGTCTGCTCTCGCAACTTTGATTCAACACTGTATTGGAACTCCTAGCCACTGTAACAAGACAAGAAAAATGAAATCAAAATCATATGAATTGGAAAAGCAATAAAACGGTATTTGCAGATGACCTGGTTATTAATGTCGAAAATGAATCCGCGAAACAGTTACAAGAATAAAAATGAGTTTATTAGCAAAGTTGCAGGATACAAGGTCAACATATAAAAATGCACAATACTTGTAAATACTAGAAATAAACTGGAAATTGAAATTTTTAGAGATACCACTTATTATAACATCATCAAAACCCATGAAATCCTCAGGGATAAATCTAACAGAATATGTGCAAGGTCTGCACAATGAAAAATAAACACATTATATGTATATACACACACACCAAAGAAAGGTACTTGATGTTCTTCAGTCCAAGAAGACTAAGGTATATTCAGAGGAATTCTGTACATTATGGAATCCTTGGAAATAGTATCTCTCGACTACCACCATGGTCTGTCTCAAAAATATGGCCTCTAATCTTTTTTTTTTTTTTTTTTTTTTCTGCTCTGCAGTAGTTATTTCCTCTATTTAATCTTCCAGGTCACTTAGCCGTTTTTCTAGCTCAGTTATGCATCGGCAGGCGGACTCTCTACCACTGCGCCACCAGGGAAGCCCTCTAATCTATTATTAATACCAACAAAGCTGGAAGGAATGATTCAGACTCCAGCAAGAACACTCAAATTCTAATAGAAAAAAAAAAAAATGTTTCTAATAGAAAAAAAAAATTCTATAAATAGTCATGAGTGGAGATAAACATCAAACATTTTTGGGACATCATCACAATATCATGTTTCTTCACTCTTTCAAACCCAACTCTCATCTCATAAGCCTGACACTTACAGCATGAATATCTGGTATTATTTTCTTGCTTGCGGATTATGTGTTCTTAGAGACACACAAGATGCAGAGACATTTCTAAACAGAGAATTCCACGCAAGCAGAAGCTTCTGTATCTTTGTTTACTCCTTAGGTACTCTAGTCACACCTAAATGGTCGATAATATAGGTTTCTGGGAAAATCAGGCTCAATCCAAGGGAGACCCACACCTCCTAGGCTGTCATCAGAGCCTCTGAAAAAAAGCACACCATGGGGCTCTCTCATGATCAGAGAACATTTGGGATACAAGAGACTCTATAGGGTCTATCTTTCCATCATTGAAATGATCACAAATACAAATCAGTTTTCTGAACTCTGTACAAGGTGAGAGTGATGGCACGGATGCGGCTGTCCTGTTCGATCCTGTACCACCAGTGGGCAGTGTAGTCTCGCGTGGACAGCTGGGTGATGCTACTCGCTAAATGAAGGCATCCAAGGCTTTGACAACACCTTGATGTCTTCTTCCCCTGAGTGCCCAAGGGAATCTCAAACTTCCCCTTGGGTTAGGAGCTGGTCACTGTGCTAATACCACAGGGAATACACACTGTACGCCATCTGCCCCTGGCAGCTTCACGGACACCAGGAAGCCTCTTTGCTTTCCTCTCCTCTAGGAGAGGGGTGGAGTGAAAGCGGTCCTTGCTTACGCTGAGGACTGAACGGTGGCAATTCTGGTGTCATCGGCAGGGCTCATCCTTGTTTATATTTCCGTTGTGAAAAGCAAACGTCCAGCTTATTTAATTTACACTTCGTGCCCCGTGACGCAGGGAATTTTATATTCAAGTGCTCACCAAGTTCTGCTTCTTAGTGTAAAATATACTGATGTTTAAGTAATTATGAAATGCACTCTTTCAAATTCACTGATAGTCATTAGCGACTAGGTTAAAAAATTAATGAGGATATTTATCTGGAGTAGTGGCACAGAATACCTAACTGGTGGTGGTGGGGGGGAGCTCACAGAATCATATTATAGCATTTCCTCTTCTGTTAAAAAGTGATATAATTGGCTTTATTTCAGGAGTACAAATAGAGGGAAGCAGGTGTTTCAACCAACAACCTGTGATTAGGAACATTCTGATTTAAAATTCCTTTGACTTTTCGGTTAAACAGTTATCCTCTCAAGGTCCGTGAACAGGTGCCACTAGTGAGCGCCTCAGGGAAACTCCGGCTGCAGCCGGCAGGCTTCGACTTGTCGCGAGTCACAGGGCAATGTCGTGGGATCACACGTAGGGAAATCACTGTTTTTAATCAACGGGTCTCAAAGTAAAGCTGCAAAACAGCTGTGACAGAGCTTTTCTAGAGTTGAACTGGGGACCTAACAATTCAACACTTACGTTAAGCGAGAATGGGCTCAATTTCTGAGAATCCCATCAGTAAGAAAGCCTTTGGAACAACACTGTATTAGGACACTCTGTAGTAAATGCCGGACAGAGGTAGAGTCTCTACGGCAACTCTTGTGTTGGAAATTTATTAGAACACGATTTTCTCCTCAGTAGGTCTTGTAACTAACGCTACCCCCACCAGGGACTGAAATACATCATCTCAGGAGCTGCCAAAGCCAACAGGGCTTTGTAGGAAAGACCATGTGTCAAACAAAGTAATTTACGTAAATGAGAATTAACTACCAGGGCACCACACAAGAAATGTTCAAAATTGTCCATGAGACGTACTCTTTAATCCTGTGCTCTCTTTGGCTAATGCTTTCAAATCATTGACAATATTCTACGGCAAGAAGTTAAAACGCCAAGAAAAGTAAATTACAAGTTTTCATACTCCAATTCTTTTTGTTGCTGTACATATAGTGAAGAATACATTATAGAAAGTCTCCAACCTGAGCCCAGCTTCCCTCCTCATCTTCCTGATGTTACGTGGTTAGGGATGCAAAAGAACATAACTATTAGTATTGGTGAGCTTAGTAATGCAAGCAAATTAACTTTGCAGGGGAGGTGCAGCTTAACTGGGTGAAAAGGGTCAAAGAATCAAAGCATCATGCAAAACTCATGCAAAACCAACAATTCCCATGTCTCATGCAAGGAGCGGACTTCCCACGGCAAGCACACCCGGAAGAGGAGAAAACTAGGGCCAGGGGGCTGCACCGAGGCTCCCCTAAAGACAACAATTAAATCTATTCTACATGGACCAAGCCTACCAACTTTAAGTTCCTGAAAAAAATATAAAATAAGATGAAATATGGATTGTGTTTCACACATTTAACTAATACCTAAAGGAAATGCTTATCCAGAACAATCGAACGTAAGACGACCTTTCTGTTTCCCACAGGAAGGCCAAGAAGGGCGCCAACCTGAGGTGGGGCTGCCCGGGGAGGGGTGGGGGTGGGGGGTGAGCACGGGGCGGGACTGACCGTCTGGGGCGTGGCCGTGAGCGTCTCCATCTCCTCGTGTGTTAACCAGACATTTCCTGTGGTCTAGGGGCACCCCGTGACCGGCCACATCCAGGGCAAGGGCAGCGGTGACAGAGGGGAAAGGCGGCAGACACGTCAGCCAGGTCAGCCAGGGCACGGGAGGGGAGCGGGTGGGGCAGAGGCCGTCCCCACCCACCTCCCCGTCTGAGATGCCCACAGCGAGACACGAGACACGGGTGGGCGGGCGCTCGGCCCTTCTCCTGGCAGGACCCCGCCTTCTTAAGGAGGACAGCCCTAGAGCTTCCTGTGCCATGCTGACACCTGAGCTATGTGGGATCTAAAGAGCTGTTAAGCCATTGTACTTAAGACGGTCTCACCCAGTCAAAGCACAACGAAGAACAGGACAGAAGTCCGGCTTTGGGCTCTGGGGAGACGCTTCTGAGCAGGCGCCCGCCTGTGACCGGGGCCTCTGTCAGAGGCGGGGCGCGGGGCCACCAGCGTCCCAGTGACGGCACCGCTGGGCGTCCCCGCAGCCCCAGACGTCTGGCCGAGCCCCAGCGGGCGGTGCCCCCGCCTAATGGTGGGCAGGTTCCTCACGGGAGGCCTGTTCGTCTTCACCGTCCATTAAACTCAACTCATAAGACGCTCCCTTTACCGAGATACTTGATAAAATCTGCGGGAAAACCCCCAGCACCTTCATTTCTGAAAAGGCGACTCTGGTGAAACACCTGGGCACAGAGCAGATCAGATACACTGAGATCACGCGCACCTGTGCAAGAGGTGAGGACACAGGCTACTGTCATCACCACGACGCCCCACTGAGAAACAACGGAAGACAAGCGAACAGAAAAGCTTTCACGCTTTTCATGTAAAGTAACCGTGAGCCCTGAATCAGGCGTTGACCTGCTACTCAGAGGAAGCGCGTCTGTGAGGCTCAGTTTCCGCACGGGTTTTTCTCTCTGGGGGAGACAGACTGAAAGCAGGGTGGGAACTGAGCCGGTGTACGGAGTCTGCCCTTGAGAAATGAAGAGCTGGCCCGCCCTGATCTCCCAATTATCATTCCCGTTTTCATTACGCTGGTTTTTGACTTTTTCAACTAGGAGGACCCTCTTAAAGGACTTCCAAGGTCCTCCCACGTGGAGCGAAGCTGGATGAGCGCAAACACCGCTTGGAGTGCACCTGCAGGTTTATGGACTCTTAGAATCCCAGGGTCTACAGCTCCCGAAACGGACAGTGCCAGCAGGCCGCACAAGTCAAACGAGGGAGCCACTGCTTACAACGCAACCTGGGCTCTAAGCTTTTTCTCCTTCACTTTCTTGACATTCATATTTAAATTTGTGATGGTTACTTTTCTACGTTTTCAAAGACTCCCATTTCTATATCACAATGCCACTGTAGCCAAGCTGTTATAAAAGTATTTAATGACGTATCTTTTAACAGCCCAATTGCCGCAAATTAAATGTTGTCATGTCTTTGTATGCTAAACCTTTAAACTGGAACACTAGATGTGTTTATAAAGAACTGCGGAAGCAACACGCATAGGGGATGAACTCTTTTTACGGAAACGTACCGTTCTTGACGTAGGAGGGGCTGACGGACTTGTCAGGGACATGATCTCCTGAATCGCCAGCCTCAGCTTCAGCCGGTGCAGAGGGTTGCTGATGCCGATCTCGCGCTGGATCTCCGTGTCCGACAGGGCGGACATGATGGCCCCGCTCTTCACGTTGGCTCGGCAAGCAGCCACGTACCAGGCCGGCATCCCGACCCAGAGCTGGAGACGGGAGACACGGGGGCCACAAGGTTATGCGTGGCGTATGGATGGGCTCGCACACTCGGCCAGGATTCGGAGAGGGGCATACGCACCTCCAGCCAGACGACAACAGTTGGCCCGTCCCACTGTGCAAAGGGTAAGCCTTGTCTCCGGGCTTCTTCGAGCAATTCATGCCTACAGGTGACAGATGTTCAGACCTTCAAGAGCCACACTACACACAGGCAAAGCGTCCTCTTTATAAAGTTCACCAAAGCGTCCTCTTTATAAACCCCCAAAGTGTGATGCCACACATCTCATCATTGTCCTTCAACCTTCTAAACCGTCCACTGAAGGGTAGTTTGGAACACATCACACTGAACGCCTGAGTAATGAGCTGCTGAAAGACCCTCAAGGATTCTCTACAGAACCGTCTCCTTCCAGGATTAAAGAATTACTACCAACTTTAAAAGACCCAGCAGAGTCTTCATATCCAAGGTAGGATATTCAACACAAAACATAATCACTCATCCCCTTCTAAACAAGGAGGACAAATCTGTAGGAAGAGGAAACCATACCTAGGTCTGAACAGAGGAGTCTGCCTCAGAGAGCTTCAGAACTGCTCAACATTTCACGACAAAAAACACAGAGAACAACGCAGACTTTTAACACTAATAATGCTCTAATATAGCTATCAAGGAAAAGGCTGGATTTTGGCTGTTTCTATTCTGCACTGCTATTTAGCTAAGTAGGCATTTGCTAAATTAAGATACTGGGTCATCTTTTTGGGGGGGGGGTTATTTAGTTTATTTTTTTTGGCTGTGCTGCGCGGTTTGTGGGATCCCAGTTCTCCGATCAAGGATCAAACCTGGGCCCCTGCAGTGAAGGGCAGAGTCCTAACCACTGGGCCGCCTGCAGTGAAGGGCAGGGTCCTAACCACTGGGCCCCCTGCAGTGAAGGGCAGAGTCCTAACCACTGGGCCCCCTGCAGTGGAAGGGCAGAGTCCTAACCACTGGGCCGCCTGCAGTGAAGGGCAGAGCCCTAACCACTGGGCCACCAGGGAATTTCCGGGTCATCCTCTGGCTTAACCCACAAGCTTCACATCCAGGAAATTTAAATGCCAACAACCTTTACCAGTGCACACAAGGCAGGCCGTGAGCCTATGATACTGTATGGCGATGCCAACTACCCCAGGGCAGGAGGCAGCGAGGAGTCCTGGGATCCTTTATGGCAGGGCTCCCCAAGCCCCGGGATGTGGACCGGTGGCGGTCCGTGGCCTGTGAGGAACCAGCCGCGTGGCAGGAGGTGAGCGGCGGGGGAGCAGGCAAAGCTGCATCTGCCGCTCCCCGTCGCTCGCACTGCTGCCTAAACCATCCCCCTGCCTGGCCCCCCCACTCTGCGGAAAAACTGTCTTCCACAAAACCGGTCCCTGGTGCCAAAAAGGTTGGGGACCGCTGCTTTATGGGACCAGAAATGTTCTGTGTGCCTGACTTTAAAATGCCCAAACCATAATGTTAACATCTTTTAAAATGATTTTGTCTACGGATAACATACTCACGTAAGAGATAACACAAGAAGCTTTTATGAACCTTATTGCACTTCTCTGCGTCATGTACTTACAAAACTTTCTGAAAGTCACTAATTAGCTTAAAAATGGAAAGTCTAGGAGAGAAGGTGGGACTGGGGTGGAAAGCACAGGTCCATTTACCTGACTGGACATCCCTGAGTCACTGCAAAATTCCTAGGTCGTTCTTAGTTATTTTTCTGTAATAATTTCTGCAGACCACACCACGGAATCTTTTATTTCTAAGATACTTAGTGGCTTTTCTTTCTTTCCTTCTTTTTCTTTTTTTGGCCACGCTGCACGGCTTGTGGGATCTTAGTCCCCCGACCAGGGACTGAACCTGGCCACCGCAGTGAAAGCGTGCAGTCCTAAGCACTGGACCGCCAGGGAACTCCCTAAAGAAACATAGCGGCTTTTCATTATATTCAAGTAGCATTAGACTTAAGACTGTGAAGTCTACGTACAATTAAAGCTCAAGGTGTTTCACATAAAATTTCAAGTAAGTGTTCCTTTAAGTCAACCTTAGGTTTCCTGGGAATAGTAAATACTGTGTTATCCAGGAATGATTATACCAGAGAACACAACATGGATCTCAACAGCTCAAGCAGAGTAAAAAAAAACAGTAAACTTTTAAAATTAAAACAAACAAAGCTATTCATAAATTAAAAACAAAAACCGAGTCCACATGAGATTGTGAGCATCCTGACACAGGATCCCCGCGCTGGAAGGAGTGATGGGGCCTCGCCGGGCAGCGAGCCATCAGCGCCGAATCAAATGCTATTTCCTGTTCCTAAAGATGACTCCTCCTCAAAGACAGCAGCTACACCTGATGTGAACATTCACGGGGGCCACACAAGCCTCTGAGCGACGCAAACAAGGCCTGGGCAGGCCAGCCAGGGGCAGCCCGAGTGTGGTCCCCGGACCGCCAGGCTGGCCAGGAGGGGGCGCGGCGGCACCTGCCAGGCCGGGGCTTTCAGAACCCCGCGCTCTGAAGGGAGCCAAACAGGTACTGAATCCTTGGCACTTTGCCAGAGACTTCATTTTTTTTTACATATGCAACAGAAATTCACTGTGGACGAGAAATTCAGGGTTAGAAAGGGGCCACTGACCCCATTACCTGGAGACTCTGGCACACATTGTTCTGACTCTGTTCCAGGCAAGAGGCGTTCGCTTTCATAAAAAGCCTTTTCTACTACGGATGTATTTCTGGGATTTTAGAGCTCCGGTCCAGCACCCTGATGACACTGGGATACGGTGACGGAGGCAGGACAACGCGGCTGAGAGACGCGGGAAGCCAGCGAGAGGGCGAGGCGGCCCGCGGCCTGGGAGCACGAGCCCCCTCCTCCCCGAGGTGCCCGTCCCGCGCTGGGGGAAGCACACCCGCAGGCGGGCATCAGCGGCAGGGCCCCCACTCCTGCCCCTCCCGCCAGTGGGGCACAGGAACAAATCACTGCTGCCCTCCCACTTCATCTAGGAACCCACTTCTGCCTGCTGCCGACAGAACCCGCGACTGCTCCGAATGAAATGCCGCGTGCCCTGGGATTCTCTGTTTCTACTCTCTCCTGTTTCCAGCTCTTCTCAACTGGAAATGCTCACGTTCCCCTCAGTAGAGGCCCACCTGCTCCCGCGGCTGCTTTTCTTCGGCGCGCTCGTCCGCACCACAGGGCTCTTGGCTGCCTTACGACCAACTGCTGAAATATTATCTGTTTGAGATCTGGGGACTGCCATGGCACACACAGTTTTGTCTCCCTCACTGAATCCCATCATAGACAGTCTGAGAAACCAGGGGATGAAAGCAGTTATGTGGAGACTATTTGGGAAGCTATCGATAAATCCTCTGCCAGAAGAACACCTGGTCTCTGCTAATGGAATATCGGTAACAAAAAGCCAAGAGAAAAAGACTTTATGACAAAAAATGGTATTAAAAAACTGCTGAGTGACAGAATAAAATCTGTTCAGTCCTTCACTTAGGAACAAATGTGTTTCTTTAAAAAAAAAAAAAAAGTACTGATATCAAGAGCAAAAAATAAATAACTGTAAAGTAGAGCCTACCAACTCGCCCGTTCACTCACGTGGCCACTTCCTAATCATCAACAGAATCGTCTTTTCTTCCTTCTTTACTACAGCTACCAAAATAAACACGACAGGCATTTAGTCCTCAGCCAAGTTAACTGCAAGGGAAGGAGGTATTCCTTCACAGGTCAATCTTCTAGAAAACAAGAAATCTTCCAGTCATTAGCTCCCAAGCCTAAAACACGAGCACTAAGGTGACAGGACTCCAAATGCCTTAAATCTACCCAAAGCATCCAGCTCTGTTCTAAAGAAGCTGAGCTACAGGCCAGTATCCTGCGGGAACGAGGCGTATGCCATCTGCCGGGATCCCACGGCCCCAAGCCACAGTCCAGAAGCAAACAGAGGACTCGCTCCGTTTCTGCTGGGATTGATTTCCTTCCTCTGCATCGCTCTCTGCTGTCACTGTCTCACTCTCATCTTTGACCAGAGAGGACTGGGGACACGAGCCCAAGGGGGCTGCCTCCCCTGCGGGCCAGCTGGGATGAGGTCAGCACTGTGCCCACCCGGCTCGGGCCACGCGTGCAGGGCTACTCGGCTGGGACTTGATCTGCCCCCTCAAGGATCAAATTCTAGACCCCAAGCGGGATTTATTAAATACCTGCTCTAGTAGTCGACTGATGTGGCACACTTACTAACCTCAGAATCAGAGTCACAGGAGAAAGACATTCAGAAATACGCTGAATTCTATGGGGAACAGACACGCCTATGAGAGAAAGGTCATGTCATATGTGAATGACAACATGCGTTTTAAATTGGGACAGAAGCACCATGGTCAAGCTGTCTTTCGTAACAAGACAGTTGTGTGAGCTTCTGCTGATCAAATACCATATGAGTGGCATCATCCAGACAACAGACAGGGCCTCATTTCTCTGACACTGACACTCTGCACACCCCGGCACCTCCTACAAAGGCTCGCTGGGCTCCACTTCACCGACGCAGCCGCGCAGGCCGGCACAGGGCCGGAGAGAGGCCCGGGCGGGAGGACAGCGGTGCCGCTTCCAGTCAAAAGCAGTGCAGCTCCGAGCCTGTAGCTGGCGATGGGCAACGCGGAAGGTTTCAGGACACACAGCACAGCAAACCCCACGACTCAGCTTCCCCCGTGAGCGCACGACAGCGTCAACCAAGGGGAGGTGGAAAGACAGCATTTAAAGCACCAGGTCCTTATTAACGGGGTCCAGTTCAAACGCCGTTGGGCAAGTGCCCGCACACGGGGAGCCCGTCTAGAGCCCAAGCCACCGCGATGATGGTCAGGGACGCCGACTTCCACGACAGCTGCAGCCTCCACGCCTCACCGAGCACGTCCAGCACCAAGTGTGCCTGCCGTGCTCTCTCATGTAGCTTTCATGAAACCTGAAAGTCTCATCTTCACCAAATCTTGAAAATTCTCTAAAAAAGTGGACGCACTGGCTGTGTAAATTTAGCAGTTAAAAGAGCACCTCTGAGATAAACTGGGGCTTGATAAAAAGAAAATATTTCTGACAAGCGTATTTTGTTCTCCCATCGATAATGCCAGAAACGTTAAACTATATTCAAACAGTACTTTTTCTGGAAAGCTAAAATATTTTTTTCACATTTATAAATAAAGCATTCTCCCTAAAGTCAATTGTATCTCTGGTTAACTGACAGAACTAAAATTACCCACTGTAGTCAGAACACCTTCGGACTCCGCATTGTTCTCTAAGTCGTCAGCGCCTGCTAGAACTTGGCGCGCGTGACGAAGGAGCGGAGAACAACCTGCCCGTGCACTCCCAGCCACGGTAACGGTGTCAGAAGTTCAGCCTGAGCACCTGATCTCCAGAGGAACCTGCCTAGCGGACACACACACACACCAGTGCACGGAACTACATCACACGCCGGGTAAGTAACCCAGCGACGCCTGCCACATGCAGCCCACCACTCGAGCTTCCTCCTGAGAATTACAAGACAAATGGAGAAAACACAGTGGGAAACTATGTTTGACGCTACGTGAAACACCAACGCTCAGGAGCAGAGGGTGGGAGGGCTGGCGGCACAGCCATGACCCCTCCTGGTCTCTAGCAGCCGAGCGGGAAGATGTCAAGTGAAACGCCCCAGCAGAATCTAGGGCACAGAAGTGTCCTGGCATGACTCCAGAAGGGCAAAAGGCTCTGACGTTAAGTCCCCATAAGCGAACGGCAATTACCTGAGTTCAGGTACAACACTCTCTACAGTTCAAAGACAGCAACACTCAAATCAGCTTTTGCTGTTGAGTGGTTTCTACAGATTTCCACTTCCAGGGAACCAAAGACCGAGTATTCGTACGGTGTCGTGAGCAACGACCGAACGGACAGCATTTCCCCCGGAACGCAATCAACACTATGCCAGGCAAGAGAACTGTGATTTCTGAGAAGAGAGCTAAAATGAGGCAGATTTCACAAAGGAAAAATCAACAGGCAACTTGAGGGGCTAAAGGCAAACTGGCCTCTAGTGGAGAGGGATCCCGTGGGCTCAAGGGTGGTCCTGGGGTCAGTGCCTGCAGGCCCCGGATTCCAGACCAGTGTTGGTTTCTCAAGGTGCCTGACAGTGGCCAGATGACCTTCCCCATCGTCAGGTTTATCACAGAGCCCACCCAGCTTCCCCCGTCTCAAGGGCCAGTATTACCACCTTATCACCACCTTCCCCACTCTCGGGTTCGTGCTCACCCGAGGCTACAAAGCGTTCCGTCTTATTTCCCACTTGTCAGTTCACTGGGACAGTCTCCGCCTATCCAGGTCATCTACTTAGCGCTGGTCTGGGATGTGGTCACCCGACACACAAACTGTCCTGGGTCTGAAAACGTCTCTGGACCCAGAGACACGTGCACACGCTATGTGCCTCTGTGCCTGATCCTGGGGCATCACAATGCCCGAGCTCCTTTGTAGAAAACCATCCCTCCTATTACTGCTTATTTTCAGAAATCAGGACAACTCAGAATTAAAATTTAATAAGATTGCAAACCTGAGTCTGTTTAAGATAAAAATACAAAATCTACCAGAGGAGGGAAAAAAAGGGCAACATGGTAAGTGACAACTTCCTGACTGATCGCTAGTGTGAGCCGCAAATGCCAAGTCCCCGTAGTGGCTGCAGTTACACGTGCGTCTTCCCCAGTGCCGGCACTGTTTAAGGAGCCTCGTGTACGTATGTGTAGATGCATCTGTACAGCTCATGCTCGTAAAGGCCCCATGGGGTCCCATCTCACAGATGAGAAAACTGAAGCGCAGGAAAGCCAGGCTTCCCAACGCCCCAAAGCTGACGTGTGCAGGAGCCGGCATTCAGACACGAACGCTCCGTGGCTGAGCACGACTCAGCGCCACGACGTGTCCTCGCCAGAGACCTCTCCAGAGTGCACTAGGAACCCACGTGTGAGTCCGTCCCAAATTCACAGGTGCTCTAAGTCCTCCGGGAAGCACAGTTTAATAAAGGCTCTGGGTTAAGCTTTCAGGAGACAGTATATCTACAGAGCCGGATATCACATTTGATCAATAAACATTAGTTAAACATCAGGAACAACTGAAAACTGTTCAGTGAGATCGACAAAAAACAAAAACCTTACTTCTTTTGAAGTTTACGATTTTTCTCAGCCTGTCCTCCCAATTTGCTGAGTCCCAAGGCATCCTGAGATGAGTTTTCTGTCTCTGAAATAACAGCTACGAGGAAGCAGAGTGGTCGAAATATTGAGAGAAAATCAACACGGCCGAGTTAGGTGTTTCTGTAAACAGGTGGAGGAGTTTTTGTAGGGAGAGTGAGGAAAATTCTAAAGGTGAACTTTCCGACCAGACGGCACATGCGTGCGCGCGTGCACGCACGCACGCACGCACACACACACACTCACTCACACGAAAACGCTCAAGAGGCAGGAAGGCTGACGCCTGGGAGACACTGAGCTGCTCAAGGCAGGAGGACGTTACCCGTGCTCTCTGGGCCGTGTGTGGACCCACTGGGGAAACAGACCCGGGAGAACACCCAGCTCGTGTGAGAGGAAGCACGTGGTGGTGACGGGACGGTGGAGGGGCGCGCAGAGGTGCGCATGCAGCCCCCTGCCCACTCCGAACACTGAAGGGTTGGCTGGAAACCACCCACCTTGTCCCAGCGATTCCTTGCCAAGGGCTCCAGGTCGGCCCTTCTCTTTCTTGCCGAACAAGCGGCCGATAGAGGACTTGATGCCCTTCTTCTTGGGGGCTTTGTGCAGCGAGTCCTGGCTGCTGTTGCTACTGCTGGGGTTGCTCGCGGGGCCGTCCTGTGAGCCTGTCGAGCTTTGGGGACAGAAAATGACCTTTAACGGGTGGCCTCGCGCAACCACACCCCCTACAACGCTCGCTCCCCACACCGCACGGCAGACGGGGCTCCTCGCGGACCGCGGCGCGCACAAGAGGTGCAGGCTCCCCACCACGGACGGCTGCTCCCAAGAGGCTGCGACTCTGGGAGGGGCCTGACTCCAGACCACCCAGTGCAGAGGGCAGTCCGAGCCCCTCAAGGTAACGGCCCGGCAGGTGCAGACGCCCCCGGGGCCGGGGCAGGAGAGCGATGGTCGCCGTGCAGGGGCGCTGGAGAGATGACCACACGTGCCCTGCATCGAGTGCTGCCTGGCTCCGGACAGGAGCTCAGCAGGTGGTGGTCTGAACAAGGCCAGCGTCACAGAACTGCGACTGACGGTCTCCTGAGAGGAGGCACTTGGGGAGCATGGAAGGATGGGGTGGGGCACCTCGCAGCTCGGAAGGAACAAGAACGCATCTGAGAGCCACGGAGTGTCCTACAGAGGAGTAACGCTCAGAAACACAGCCCGCGCCGGGCGGAGGCTCCGGCCAGAATGGGAAGAAAGTTCCCAAAGGAGTTAATCTGTAGAATCTGAAGAAACGAGGTGTTTCTAAAATTTCTTGCCAAGCTGACTCCGTGCAAACAGAAGGCGCCTCCTGCCGGACTTCACTACAGCTGCGCCCGGAGCAGGGGTCGGGCACCCTAAGTCTATCACTGCAACAAACACGCTGAACTGAGTGGTATTTCGTTACAATCATCATTCTGACTTGTTTCTCGAGAGAAGATGAACAGATTTCCTGAAGGTGGAGGGAGGAGGGCAGGGCCCTTACTTGCGTGCGTCCCTGACGTCCTCGTGGCTGGCCGTGCGCAGCGCCCCTGTGTGCAGCCGCTCCAGCCGAAGGGACCGTGGGGAGGAGGGGGGTGAGGTTTCACATTTGATGGTCGTCTTGTCGTCTCGTACCTCTTCTCGGGAGGCTGGCAGCTGAGGGATTGAGATAAGTGTAAAATTAGGTGACAACAGACTGTGACGGATAAAGGAAATCACGGAGGCTCTACATTATAACCAGAAACTTATTTGAAAACCTATTAGCTGTGCTTTCTGCCAGTACAAAAAGGCTTGATCTAGCCCAATGCCATCTTAAAGGGCTGTCTTGCTCATGAGAAGCAAGGCTGTCAGCAGAGGGAGCACAGAGCAGAGCCGACTCCCGCCGGCCTGCACCCGCATGAGCGTGGAGACCTGGACAGCAGCCTCCCCGTGGCCTGCCGTCCCTAGAATCCAGGCCACCCGGACAGCCCCACAGGGGCAGCAGAGAGCTGAGCCCCGCCTGAAGCCACCATCTCCCAGCTTTGTGGCTTATAATGGGATGTGAGTATGGGAAGCAGGGTGGTGGTTACGGTATGGGGAACAGATTGACCCCTTCAGGGTCCAGGCAGATCTCCCTTATAAATTTGGGTTTTGTGGTTAAGCCAGGTTAGATTTTATGAAACATGCATGGCAAGCATTTGTATAAACAATGAGACTTGAGCAACTGACCTATGCCTTTTTAATGGGATTCTATAAAGAATAATATTGATCCACGGCAGCCCCACAGTGGCTTGGTGACAACAAAGTGACCCAGGGCAAAATATAGCTGAACTCATTTAAGCGACAGCTGGATAAACTGTGTCCTCTCCTGATTTCTAATTACAATCATCCGATAGCAAAAGGCTATAGAAAGGCTAGAAATCATCAATGCGAAACGTAACAGGGATCGATCTCAAGTTCAAGTTAAAACAATTCTTTATAAAAATCAAACGGGTCACAGGGAAGTGACGCAGGTCTGAGGTGACTATGGACTCCATGGAGATAAACAGCTGCTTTGAAGCCCAGTTAACACGACAAGCCCCTTCCCAAGGGCCTCTTCCTAAGGAAGTCCTCCGGGCCCACCCAGCCTGGCACCTCCCCCGGGATGAGAGCCCGCCCCACTGTGCCCACGTGACTAGGACGGGCAGCTGCATGCAAGCTGGGCAGGCGTCTCGGTATCCACCTGCGACGTGGAGGAGGCAGCAGGTCCACCGGTGCCTGGTTCTTGGCGCACACACGCCAAACCTAGAATAAGGCCCTCTCAGTAGCCAGTCAGCGAGCTCAAGCTACTGCATGCAACAGACCAGGCCGCCCGGCCGGGACGTAATCAACAGGCCACTACCTTTATTGAGAAAGTCTTGCCACCAAGAAAACTACGAACGTATGCAGCAGAACTGTGTCTCACTGCCGACCTGTTGACTGTGCAGGGATGCCACAGCGCGGCCACCCTGAGGGGCACGGGTCTACCGCTGTCCTCACTTAGCAGCAGGGCAAAGCCGGGCCCAGAGCGGGCGAGCGGCTCACCCAGGTCACAACCAATTGGTGACAGAGCCGGGACTTTAAACTGCCGCACTGCTGTGGCCTGGCAGAGAGAGGGGCGCTGGCGCACTGGGCGGCTGGGCCGCAGGATGGCTGCCCGCGTCTTGCACGGCTGCGTGGTGAGTGCACGCTCAGGGGGTTCTGAGCCTGAGAGGGAGGGAGGCATTGTGGTCAACAGATCTGGCCCTCAGCGCACCGTAATTCCCTCCAAGAACAGGGGCTCAGTCCAGGGTTATCTGAGAGGAAGGAGCCCCGAGTGCCCTCCGTCAGGAATGCTGTGAAGGAGACAAGAGCTCCTGGTGGAAAAGCGGGCCAGACGGCGCCAGGGCTGAGGGTCCAGGTTCTGAAATCAGACAAATCCACACTGCGCTGCTGACTGACTGTGCGAGCCTGGGCACAGCGCCTGGCCTCTCTAAGCTTCGGCGTCCACGTCTGTTGAATGGGGATAACAACAGCACCTGGACCTCACGTGGGTGTTTGTGGGATTAGGGAACAGACTCGTAAAGCATTCAGCACGACGCCTGGCACAAAGTAACAGCCTACCGAACGCTACTACCTGTGACTATTAAAATTGCTTTCCCCCAAATCTAGCATCTATGGCTCCGCTTCCATTTTTTTTTTTTTTTTTT